TCCCCGCACTGGCGGGAATGAGACATGGAAGCATCAACATACACACCAAGGTCTTTCTCATAATCAGCTACCTTTATTTCAGTAGGTCCCATAAAATACCTGTACTTTATATTTCTGCTCCCAACATGGAGTACCTTACAAGTTTGTCTATGTTAAATTTCATCTGCCAGGTATCGGCCCAGTCACTAATTAAATCAAGATTCCGCTGTAGCTGCTGAGCCGCTAGTTCAGTATCTGCTACACCACCCACCTTGGTATTCTTTTGAAAAAATACTGCAAATTCGAGATTGCAGATAAACCATCGGCCCGAAAATGCGCCCAGGCTTATTTAAAATGCCCTGCCTGTTATTTGGTCAATTTTGAGAAAACGTAATGACGTCCATAAAAGTCTGCGGTGACGTTTTTGCCAATTCAAGTCCAACGGTCTAAGTTAGTCAAGTCTAACAGTCCAGAACAAACGCAGTGCTTTTCTCACACTTTTCACCAAGCACTTTCCATTTAAGCCACAACCAACATGGCTGCAAATTCTTGTTATCTACAGCATGGCGCGTCGTCATAGCGACACTACAACTTTCGTTCGTACTCTCGCGATGTTAGGTACGCGGGGTGTAGCCTCAAACGGGCGCCGTTCATACGGCTGGGTAACCGGGATGTGTCAGACAGCGTAAACCGGCGACGCGGCTTGTAAACTTAGGACAGGACGCCTTCGGAGACGGAATGGCAGCTCCGCGACCAATTAAAGGCATTTTGAAAAACAAAAACAGCGCTACGAACGTCAAAACAGGACCCGAAGTGCCGCCACTGGATAGCCCGGAGCGGGCGGCACTCGGTCCACTCGAAGATGATCAGCAGTGAGTATCCTTACACAGGTTTAAGTAGTCGATCGGCTATTTAAGAAAATAACAACAAAATGATACACTTTTAGCCAGAGTACGATTATTTGTTGTATCGGTAACTTGGCCAGTTAGCTCCCCAGCTACGTAGCCGGCAGTAGTGATAAGCTTCCTGTATATGGTCATTAAAACCTGCACGGTGGCCCATGGTGTGGGAGGGTGGGGAGTCATTTACTACTCACGTTTGCAAGCTATTGAAACACGGGCTTGTCGTTTTCATTTCTCGCCATATATACTGTATAGGCGTAAATATAACAAGGTCGAGGGCTGCCAAGCAACGCAAGGAACTTTAGCACCATTGGTACTGTGATTTGTTTTTTCAGCAACCAGACCCATAAACCATAGCTCCAGTTATGAAATATGCTTGTTTAATTTGTTGTCCTTTTGTGCTTAATTCTTATAATCCGCTGCTGGGTACATACTGTCGCGATATTTTACCTTGGGTGTGTGCAATAAAGGCGGTTTCAAGCACTGTCGACCTGTCGCTGCGCATTTCTGCTGTGGCGATCTTTGGATCCTGTCTGCGATGAAGTTCAAGATCCCAGCATGCACTGGTGTCACTCACAGCTGACAAAATTCGTCTACAACGTCCAAGCTCTTTGTACAAACTCTTGCGGTTGATTTTGTTCCGACAGCTTTTCGCATTTTTTAGAGACAATACTATTCAGCTAATGACGCCCTATCTTTAATGAATGGGCAATATGGAGAAGTAATAAATAATAAATCATTTATTTTCCATTTGCATAAGTACCAGTACATCGGAATTGTTCTCTTTGCCTACCCCATCTTGCAGAGTCAGCCAATGTGTGGCACCCTTCTTGTTGGAGGTTAAGGGCCTTGCTGAAGGGCCCATGGAAATGTGACTGTTCTGCTGGGGCCATGGGTCAAACCAGAGATCTTCCGATTATAGTCACAGAGACTTAGCCTGCTGAGGCACTCACCACCTCGGGCAGTGGAGGTGCACTGCTCCCAGAGGCACTGCTAAACTGGGTTGTAGTGTGGACTGCAAGCCCCTCTTCTGGCTTCTACCACAACTATTAGAACAAAAATGTGTTAGTGAAATGCCTGCCTTAATAGAGATCTGTGGTGACACTGTTCCTCCAACTGTTCCATCTGATATTAAAATAGACAGAGTGTGTGTGTGTGTGTGTGTGTGTGTGTGTGTGTGGGTGGGTGGGTGGGTGGGTGGGTGGGGGGAAGGGGGGGTCTCTGAGGATTCTCTAAACAGACATGGGAATGAAATGGCTATCAAAGTACCACTGGGCATTAATTTTTGACTCACTCCAGGTTGTTTGGGGAGTTGGGAACAGAGTGTAACTGGGTGCCTCACACATTACAGTATCTCAAAATACATTGTTTAACCTTTACTTTGGGAGTTTTTGTATAGGATTTGGACCTGCATCCCTTTGGTTGTGTTAGGCCGCTTGATAAATCATAAAACACATTACTGCAGCATGACCAGGAAGGAAAAGCAAGGAACTTTATACACTATGGTAAAGTAATGTCAGCCTCATGGGCTGATTGATCGGTTTGGCTGTTTTTTCTTGAGGGGGGGGGTTGCTTGGTATATGGAATTTACCGTAATGTTGTTGTTTTTTTCTTCTGAGCACCTCCTGACATGACCACAGGAGTGAGATTTACTGTTTACTCTTGGCATATAGCAATGGCAGGTGCAATAGAACTATACTCTGGACCCGCGAGGTGATTTTTGGCTTGTTGTGTCCTCAGTGCTTATGATGAGCACTAAAGGGTGCTGAGCCCCTACTGTCTGTCACTCTAGCTGGACACACTGGGATCACTTCAATGGCAGCCTCTCTAGTTTCAAGTTCAAATTCATGACCTCCCAAGACCCTCTTTGCATGCATCTGGGTCAAGATGCTGACTTTTCTGAATATTGTTTATATTTTTTTACAGCCTTCCTCTTTGCAGAGAATTTCTTGTCCTGCTTGTTTTTTTTTTGACCTGTTTCTAGAGCATTCTCCAGACACCTTGTTTATTGTGCAAATGATTTCCTGAATCTGTATTTTCCAGAATTCATGACTGCAAGAATATGATTTCTTATTAGGATGCTCCAGCACTTTGATTGCTGGGATTATCTGTGTCCTGGCAGCACGCCAAAGAAACTTTGAGACTCTATTGCTGTACAGCTAAGCCTTCAGTCTGGCTGGGGCATTCAGAAGTGGCAGTCAGGCGTTTGCTTCATAAATGATGCCTACCTCCTCTCCATTGAAACAGTACCATCACATTGTTGAGGCCTACGGTTGCATTAACTGGTATGCATTGCTTTTGTTGACTTTCAGCTTTGGTTTACGTTTTCAGTGTTAAAGCTCCTGAGTCAAAATGATCTCTGTGGTTCAACCCTGAAATTCAGTAATTCATCTTATAATGTTTAATACATATATATTAAGGATAAATAATATTATTGGAGCATCAACAGTGTAAATATGGTCATGGATGATACAGCTACATTTATTTAGCAGCTCTATTCAGACAATACAGTTTGACAGACAGATTTCCTTTGTGACCCGACTGCTGTGAATTCTGCACGAAGACCTGTCTCAGTTGTGTCTCTTACAACAAAGCCAAGGGCAAAAGTTTGGTTTCCCTTGATCACCTGGAAGGGTCACGTATAGCAGTCTGTGGCAAGCTGTGATCCGTCGAATCACCATGTCCTGCTAGCTGACACCTTATCTGTCTGTGATCAATGTGAAGGTGGCTGAGGATGGCAGGGAACGAGATGGATTACGGTGCCAGCGATTAGATTTATGCACTCTTGACAAGTGCAGGGGGCAGCGGCTGGGATGATTCAAGACCCGAGTGGGCAATCTCCTGGAGTGGGTGGGGCTGTGTGTGGAGCCCTTGGGAGGTGGGGTCCTTGATGGTATTGATGGTGCGAGGGTGAGAACGGGAGTAGCAGGTGTTCGACTCGTGGCACATCAGTGTGAGGACGTGTCTGTGCTAGGTGGATCACCAGGGGTCATGCACTGAGACCCTGGCACTGCATATAACAGGACTATGGGGACGTCTGGCCACAAATCTCCTGAAGCACGCTGTCCTATTTATGTCACCCCAACTTGACACGTACCGATTGATGTTTTAGTTTAGTTTCGACAAAATGACCAAGCCGTTTGAGTTATCTCAGTGAAACTGCCTTCATTTTTACAATAAGTTAGTCAAAATATTTCCTTTATGCATCTTTATGTGCTACCCAGTATTGTTTTATGAGGTCTGCTTTCTCTGTGTTTTAAGCTTCAATAGAGAGAGAGTTCTTCAAAGTCTCTGAGTAGAACTGAGGGTTATACAAATGAGCTTCAGTGATAGAAGTAAATATTGAAATAACCACCCTAATTATTCCTGACTTTTTTTGCTGACCCATTATTTCAGAAAGAAGTCACAGAAATGGGACGAAATGAATATTCTGGCAACCTATCACCCTGCGGATAAGGACTATGGGTTAATGAAGATTGATGAGCCCAGCACACCGTATAACAGGTGAGTGGGCAGCAAACCCAGCCATCACATTTTGCTGCTAGGTGAACGTTTCCTGTTGTATTTGTTTTGATGGTTCATTTCTGCTAAGAAATGATTCATTGGGGAGATTTTTTAATAGTTATTTTCTTTAGTAATTTCTAGAGAACGCAACATATGTAGTAATGCAGATCATCTGACTCATAACCTTGCCTATTTAGTTCAACTAAGGTGCAGGGGCCATCATAACCCTTGTGCACCCTCCTGGAGCCTGAAAGCTGCCTGACGTTAGGATCTTGTAAATAGTCCCCTGGATATAGCATATCCCTTTCTGTCTGCCCCCAGCAAGAAAGTATCCACAAACACGTAACTAAATCCAAGGGCAAATCCCATTGTGAAGGTTGTCCCTGCTGGCAGTGCAGGGCTTGCAAAGGGGACATTGTTAATTATTTATGGGAACCTTCCCCATGATCCCTCTCTTCCAGGATGGTGGGGGAAGAGGATGACGAAGGAGCACTGAGCGACTCTGAAACAAACGCAGCCCTCCAAGCAGATGACCTAGTTAAGAAGTAAGTGCTTTAAAGATGGGCTGTCTTTGTGATCTCAGATTAGCAGGAGGAGAATGACAGTAGCATGTGATGCTCTCATAGATAAATATATATGTGGATGTTGTACAGATCAAATGCAATCATGGGATGTCCATTTACATTTTTTAAAAATGTATTTAGTAGATGTTTTCATCAAAACAACATAGAATTGAGAAAGCAGGGTCAGCCAGTCACTGGAGCATTTGGGGTTAAGGACCGTGCTCAAAGGTCCAACTATGACATTACTCTGCCAGCCAAGGAATTTGAACCAGCGACCTTGCAATCAGTCCTAACCAGCTGATCCACACACCACTGTCAAAATCAACAATAGCAGTATATATTGATCAATAACAGAAGAGGTATCATCTGTTTTTTAGGCCAAAGTGAAAGGGTAGTGCAGAAAATGGTAATATTTTAGAAACGTACAATTCTGTTCATTTGTATGAAAAGTGCTTTGGAGATCTAAAAGTGTACATTAAAGTTCTCCTTGTCTGTGTCCTGTGAGCGTCCGTACAAATCGTGATATTTGACATGGGGCACTGCGGATTTGTAGACATCGTGTTGACTGGTTGCCCTGAGCTGCTCGTATAAATGGTAACCAATAGTGTTTGTTTGTGTGTGCGCTTATGAATTGGCTGCAGGAGCTTGCGATGCACCGATATGCTCAGATATCTCTGATGTGTGTATGTGTTTATTCATTAATTTATAAAAGTATGGTCACAGATGTTGACCCACTTTTTGTGTTCTAGCTTGGTGTAGCCAGCTTACTATAATGCAGTATTTTTTTTATTGCTTTTCACTAGGGCTGGGTGATATCATATCGATAATATATCGTGCATGTGCAATAATCACCACCCTGGTCAGATGACAGACGAAGCATTTGGCTGGACGCCAGCTTTTCGGTGCTATACGGACATTAATTTATGCCCATAATTTGGTAAACGGATTAGTAGTATGGCTTAAATATTAATGAGATGTGTTTTGTGATACCCAAAAGTTAGTAATCTGTATAAACTTTTTCTTAAATTCGATTAGCAGAGCACCCCATATAATACTGGTTTGGTATACTACGGTTTGGTTTACTACGGTTTGGTATACCTCAGTGCAATATGCACTGAAGTCGCGGTGAAGAAGAGCAGCCACCACATCTTTTAAAAGAGGAGATCTTGTGGATAAACAAGGTAAAAAGACGTCGGCGGTGTGGTGGTACTTTTTGCAGTTCAAAGTCTGACACATTTATTAAACATGAGAATATGCTGTATTTATACTAATAATGACTTTTGAACGTCATACAAAGCCTCATTAATATTTTAGCCATACTACTAAACTGCTTAAATTGTGGCTGTAAATATGTCCATATAGCACCGAAAAGCTGGCGCATGGCCAAATGTTGCGCCTGTCATCTGAAGCCCTAGTGATTATTGCGCGATATAATATCGATATGATATCGCCCAGCCCTACTTTTCACTATTAGTTTAGGTAGTTGTCTTAACTCGTAGCTTCAAAAATGGCCATCCTAGATGTTTGAGATTTTGGACTGTCCCTTTTCTTCTTGTTTTTTGCCAAACATAGCGCAGCAATCTAGCTCTGTCGTAGCAGTGCGTCTTCCTGATGCACAGTTTTTCTTGTCGGCCAGTTAAACAGGCTGAGTTGACTATAGGCAACTGTAAGACATTTTCAGCATCCGTGTCGTGTCTGTACCTCAGCAAAAGCTTCCTGTTAGCTTACCCAACCTGTGCCCAACAATTTAGGGCCTCATTCTCCTTTCCTCCCACTTCCTGCTCTGCTTTTCGGATAAGTGGGTGCTTCTGCTGGGTCAAGTGTCTTCTATGGCGTTCCACTTGGCTTGGACATTTAAAAGACCTGGCCTGCAGGGTGGGGGTGTCAGCTGGTTGGCTTGTCCAAGAGCTGGTCTGGTCCAAGATTTTCGATCCTTCAGGGATTTCAGAATTATTTTTATTTATTTATTTTTTTTCCTTCTTTCCCTTCTCTTTTTGGGAGCCCTGACAGCCGCAAATGTCACACCGAATGGTACACAGAACCACTCTCTTGCAGAAGCGCCTCCGTGGTGTACACTTTACCCAGCAGCAGGGAGCAAACGGGCGAAGGGTCGCGCAGAAATATCTGACCTGCTTTTATTCCGAATCGGGATCCTATCTGGCGGGTCGCACGTCACTCTCAGAGCTTTGTGCGTCTGCTTTCCATTTCTCCCAGGCTGGCAGCGGCAGAAGGATCGGAACCACGCTTCCTGAGAGAGAAGGAGGAGGAGAGCAGTGAGGAGGAGGAGGAAGAGCTTACCCCGGAGGAGCAAGGTAGCATATGACATCACGACCCCTTATGGTCACACTGATAGAGCAGACTCTAACCTTGTGCCCTGAGCCTGTGATCTCACACCACAGGTAACAGGGAGCAGGTTAGTGGCACCAGGTACAGAGCATGTGCGTGGTGTGAACCTTGGCTTAACAGGGAGAAGTTGCCATGTTTCTCAGCCCATAGTTTTATTGTAGGTTGAGGTTTTACGCATTGAACTCTTTAGTATCTAAGTTATTGCAACTTTTGCATTAACCATTCTGTAGAGATTGCTGGTGTCTTCCCTTTATTGTGCTGTTAATACTTATTTTGACATTCTCATCTGGTGTTTCATTTATAAATTAGGTGCTGATTAAAATGATGTAGAGCCTAGGTTCTCCCAGAAGAGAGTAGGGCACCTCTGGTTTCCCAAACCATGTCTGTTTCCGAACCTGCTGTAAAAAACCGTCCCTGATGTTTTCCTTTTCCACCCTGAGTGGAATGGTAATACAAGGGGCTTCGTTTCTTTCTGAGTTCCCACATTGAAGGCAGAATTGTGCCTGTGTTGTTTTCCGTGCAGAGCTGATATGCTCTGTAACTAATAGGGAAAACAGTAGCCTAGATTTTAGTTGACTGAACATGGTATATGTGCTGTGCAGTTAAATCCCTTTCTGCAGAATATTTGTCTGGACCCCCAGGTCTTGTCACAAAACACTGACTTTGTTTTGCATGGATATACACAAATTAATTAGTAGTAAACAGTTACCCAACCCAGTTTTAGTAAAAACAAATGCTTGATTGGTGTTGATAAATTCAGTTAAACATGTCTGAACATTAGAGATTTAAATAACTACTACTAATAGTTCATGCTGGATTCTGTCTGCTTTCAGTTATTAGGAATCAGTAAAGACAGTCGACAGAACTGTCAGGCAAATAGTAATCAGAATTGTTTCTGGATCATTCAACTTTAATTACATTTCCAGAATAGTTTTTTCAAAGGTAATTTGTTAATTAAAATGGAATGGCCCTTCTGTCATTATCTTTCTGCTACTTGTTAGCCATTAGCATTGCAGGCTGGGCTGTATTTTTGCAATTTGTTGCCATTGTATACCAGGGTCTTCTTGGAGACATAATGAGGCTAATGTCAGTTAGTATTAAATTTGTTCAATCCATGTGAATGAAAATCCACCACAAGATGGAAAAGTTGCTGTTCCAGTGCAGTGTTTCCCCTAGGTTTGCAGCTTTTGTCACTGCAGTGTATCTTTCCGGGCTTCTGGAAGAACATTTCTAGAGCCTCTTGATATGGGAAGTCAGACACATCTGGCCCACTTATTGAGATTCACATGCAGGCTGTAAGATGGTCTCCTTGCAGCCTATTGCAGATGTTTGTCTTGACCTGCAAATACATTAACTGTTAGGCTTTAAAGGTGATAGCTTATAGCTTAAAATAGTGATAGTTTAAAGCAGGAAATCCCACTGTGAGACGTATTTATTACCCTGTTCATTTTTGTCTGCTTTTCAGGTGGTTGACGCGACATATTTTCTGACGCGTGCTCTCTGTCCGCTGATGGGAGTGTGCTCATCTGTGTGTGCGCACGTGTCTGTGCGCGCGCATCGGGGCGGAACTCCGCCATGCACGATACAGAGAGCAGAGGAGAATTGTAAACGCGTGACCATATAGAGACAAACATAAGTTGTTGTTTAAATAAGATAACATAAGGCTATTTAGTTTGTTTAATAAAGACAATGTATAGACCTGTTCTATAGGAAAGGTAACCTTAAATGACTTCTGTTGTGATCTGGCACAATATAGAAAATAAAATGAAATAAAATTAGCTTGATCTTCAAGGGGGGGCGGGAGGTGCCGTTGGGGGAGCAGGGCGGCCCCCTAATATAATTTGGTAGGGGAAACACTGCAGTGAATATGTCAGACTGGTGTGGTGTGTGGGCTTTCTTCCTTTGAATCCGCTTCAGAGCTTACCAACTAAATCAGTGTTTGTTCTTCAGAAAAAAAGAAACAATTTCGGATGATGAGAAAAATGCACTACAATGAAGGCCTGAACATTAAACTGGCCAGGCAACTTATCGCCAGCGAGTTGGAAGAGGAGGAGGAGGATGAAGATGAGGAAATGAAAGATGACACAGAGCCTGAAGACATCAATGTAGACCCCCCACAAGATAGTAAGTTGAACCCCAATATGTGCTGAGGAACTATACCTGGCTTTTCCATATAGTGTCTTCAAGTTTCAGATAAGACCAGTTGACTGTTCTGTGTGGCATGCTTTCTCAAAGTACAAGCCCTGAATCGCATAACCCAGATGTAAATGACTGTACACCTGTCTGTACTTTATACTGGTAATTAAGTAGGTATTCCAGTGCACCTGAGTATTGGAGCTAAAGGATCAGGTATTAGATTTTGTTATATTAACAGAAGACGGGACTGATATGTATAGTTGAGAGAAATGTGTTCTTGTATAAACATAGTTTAAATTGTTTGACTCACTCTTCCCCCAATGTGTTACAGCTGACAGTTTAGAGTCCTAGAAGATGGCTTGCTCTGCTGTGTCCTGAACTCAGCTTTGTGAAATATTAAGACACCAGTAGTTGCTTCAAAGCTGGTCAAAGAACACACCGCCTCACAACCCTGCCATCTGCGTTTTGTTTTCATGAATAACCGTCAAGTGAAAGCATATCGACCTGACTGGTATTTCTTCCGTTGCCAAGAGTGATCCCCGTATTGTCAGGAAATGTGAAACCTGATGACCTATAGTGGACTTCATCAGCAATTGTTTCTCCTTGCCTTTTGAAGACCTCGTCCTAGAGCTGCTCGGCAAGGCCAAGCAAACCAACAAACTGGGGGGTTGGGTGTTCATTATTTTTCATTTTTTTCTTTTCTTTTCTTGATGCCTACTCTAAAACCATCAGAACCACCATTTGTGACTTTTTTCCAACTGAGATATTCTTTGTGTGTTTAGATAAGCTTTCTTCATTACTCTTTCTTTAATGAGATTCATTTTTATTCTTTATTTTCATTGTAAACAGGCCACTTCTTAAAATTTGCAGGCCAAAACCTCTTGGAAAAATAATAAATCATCATTTTATTTCTCCATTTAATGCTCTTTTTTTAAAACTAGCTTGATGCACTGAAGTACAAAGAACCGCTATTCTGCAGTTTTTCATAAATTATGTAGGCTTGATCTACTTTTGAATATTTACGTTTTCGTAAATGTACTTTAAAAACAAATTGACCATTGCTACAAAAAAAGCTATGTTCCATTTAAAAATGTCCCGTAGAAACCCTGTAACTTCCATCATCCCCCCAAAGGGTGGCCATAATTTCCAGTGTTTTACACTGAATCAATGCTATGTTAGCTTTCCAAATTTATGAGAAGGCATTAGGGACTTGCACCCCGAAATTGCTTGAACTACTGATGAGACTGAATTTTGTGAAATGTTGAAATGCTACTAGTATTGTTTTTCTGTAAATTGTTTACTTTAATAATTATTTTCAATGAAAGATTGTATTTGCTTAAGGGGAGTTTGCATAAGTTTGCCATTCACCTTGTTCAGGATACATTTGTTTTATAAATGGTCTCCTTTTGGAGTCTTCATGTCCTTTCTTATTTTGTAGCCAAAGTTCAGTTTTTTTTTCACAGATCAACAGAAATTATAAAGGTGCAGTCGGCCCTAGGTATCCACGGGGATTAGTTCCAAGGTCTCCTCCAGATAACAAAATCTCCGGAAGTTCAAGTCTCTAAAATAGTGTAGTATTTGCAAATAACCTACACACATCTTCCCATATACTTTGAATCATCCCTAGATTACTTGTAATGCTTAACACAATGTAAACAGTTGTTATACCACCATAATACATATAGAAAATATAAAGAGGAAGTATAAATTAATTTGCTCTCTCTCTCATTCACACACACACACACACACACACACGTCATCACTCACTAACAACACCAAAAACTACACATCGCCTCATTTGCGTAGATTTAGCGTAGTGCTCTGCGCATAGCAAATTCAAGTTTTGCTTTGAAACTTCCTGGAATTTTTTTTTTTCCTAAATATTTTTGGTTTGCAGCTGGTTGAATCCATGGATGCAGATCCTGTGAATATGGAGGGCCAACTGTACACTTAGGAGAAGATAAAACATGCAGGAATTTTAAGTTCTCATCTTTCAAAGTCAGTGACTAATCACTTTTATGTACACAAAAACCAGGAGCGGGACCTCATAGGATGTGAAGTTTAGAATGCTGCAATGGTTGTGTGCAGATGGAAGGAATTTTGAATTGTTAGTTTTAAAGAGGATATCTTTAGGTTAAAACCCTAAGTAATGTTACCTAGATGGAACATAAAAATGCTTGCAATCATTGTGTAGTTACATGTATCCTTATACCTGTATACATGTATCCTTATACCTGACGTTACCAGAACGTCTGGAGTGGTGCAGCCATTGCATGTTAGCAAAGTCGTACCTTTAACAGCAACCTCAGGACAATGATGAGTCCATAAGTTCAGAAAAATCTAAATAAATTTAATATCCCTGACCAAGTGCAATAGACATAATTATCAAAAAATTAACAAAGGAATATTTAACCCCCCCCCCATGGCATTCAGTAGACATAAGTTTGCCTTGCTTTGTTTGACCCCAGGATGTATTTTCTTCTCTCTAGAAAGTTTAATGATTACCTTGTGGTCCTGTTTTCTAAAATGATTGAGATATTTATCGCTATTTTCGCTTGTTAATTTGGCATGTTCCTAAACTATAGGATGTGTGTTTTTTGTCTCCATTAATAAAAGTGTCATAAAATGGCTTCCTCCTGGTTGGGAGGGGGATTTGATGCAGTGGATCCTTTATTCACTAATGTAGAAGCACATAGGCATTCTTGAATTTTCATATATCACACCTTGCTCTACTATCAGGCACATACATATATACAGAGAGAGTACAGCGTCCAGTCAGAACTCAAGATCAGCAATTAGAACAGTGTCACGGGGCAGTTTTTCTGGCTAAGGACGTAGATTACTGAGCAAACTGCCAGCCTTGGGATTCAATCCATCAACATTCCAGACATCCACATAGACTCCTAACCTGCAGTGCCACACACCTACTTGTCTACCTCAATGGGAAAATGAATGATGAATGAATGAAGGTCATTCATGTTTCTTAGGACTCTTCCTGTAAAGGTACTGGTTACTATGGGAACAACTTCTGTGAAGCTACTGGCACCAGACTCCTCTTGTGAAAGTACTGATTACTAGAGGAATGACTTCCCCTGTGAAGATACTGGTTACTATTTATAGGTCCGACTCTATAGATTTTGCCGACTGGGGAGGGGAATCCACCTGTGGAGATTTCGCCGACCAGGGTGGGGGTTCCTCTCGGTAGAGCAACGGCTCTTCTTGAAAATGTACCGGTTACGATTGCTAGCAGAGTGGTCGATCGCCCAGTAGGTGGTGGTGTTTTAACGGGCATGTGAAGCCCTGACTTCAAGCTGGAAGGAATGCAAAATAAAAAGCTGAATGACAAAGCTTAAGACCACTTCCCAATTTAAATAATAAAGGATCTGACAAAAGTGACACTTCTAAGCGCTGTCACGGTGTTAACACGGCGCTTTGCCGTGTTTCTGTGTGAAAGTGACTGGGCTATTTGGCACTGGGGGGCGGGGGATCCAGAGCCCGGCCCTGGCGTGGACGAGACCGCCCGCAGCTCTATAGGCTAGCTAGCTGCTTCTGTCAGCGAGGGCTGTTTCTCCGCTTGGACCGCGGTGTCTAGCTGATACTCGGGGTAAATACAGCGCACTAGCCCTCCGTAAAGGAACAAGCGGTTTTATTAGATGAAATATCCACATACCGGTTTTCCTTAAGGATGGCTGAGTCGTGGTGCCACTAGCGGCCGATAACCCTGCAGCTCCTCTCAGAATCTCCGCCACATACGCTCACATTCGGCGGCGCCAGGGCGTCCCGCCTTCCTCTGCTTCATTTAACATATCTCTTAAAAGATGGTGACGGTGGATTTTGAGGAGTGCCTTAAGGATTCCCCTCGGTTCAGGTAGGCCGCTGCTCTCCATGTTCTCGGGGGTGGATTTACGTGGCGGTGTCGGTCGTGGCGAATCGGGCCGCCGCCGCTAAATGGCCGGTGCTTCCTTAGGGAAGGATTGCGTGTCCAGCTGGGTGCTGTGACAACCCGGGGTAGGAGGAGGGAGAGGCGGGGTACTGCTGCGGGTTCATGTCCGTGTGTGACACAGTGTGTTTGGTACTATGTGTAACTCCGTGTGGGACTCTGTGTGTGCTGCTATGTATGACTCTGGGTGTTGTAATATGTGTGACACCATATGTGGTTTTATGTGTGATTCTGTGTATGACACCACGTGTAACTCTTTGTGGTACTATGTGTGAATCTGTGTATGACACCATGTATAACTCCGTGTGTGATTCCTTGTTTGACTCCATGTGCGACACTGTGTGTGATTTTGGGTGGTACTTTGTGTGACTCATGTTTGATATTCTGTGTGCTGTGTACGACACTGTATGCAAGTCTGTGACTGTCTGTGTGATGCAGTGTGAGCTGTGTTATACTACGTAATACTGTGTAACTCTGCAGCTCTGTGTGTGGTGCTGTGTGTCACAGTGTTTTCTGTATATGACTCAGTGTGACATCTACCACAGGCAAGACAGCACATCAGAATAGGCAAGTGCAGCTGTAAGGTTGTTAGTTAGCTAGTTTGTCTCCAAACTGGTACATAAGTAATGGGTGATATATCTGGGAAACCAGTATGCATTTCCTGCATGTCTAGTCTTATTAAATCCTGTCTGATAAGTAACAGACTAGCTTGACAATTCCTGCCTTGTGTCAGTTCTAGTTAGATGGTCTTAAATATTTCTTTAATATCTGATTTTTTGTAGTCAAAATCTACAGAGCCCCTAAAGGGACAGGGTTGGAAAATACTATTATGTACAGTTTCACGTTCCTTCTCAATCGTTTTGCATACTTGGATTATTAAGCTGCCCCCCCCTCCCGCCCCAATATCAACACAAACATGCTGTCTTTCTGTGCATCTCATGTGTTATACAGCAACTTCAAAGTGCACAACTTATAGATGGAATAAAAACAATTGCAAGGGAATTATGAGGGAACACAAGAATAATTGCGAATGGCCATGTGCATAACATGCAATGTCGATATTAACATCACACATCGTGCCGGCCTAGTTGGGAGTCATTTCTAGGTTCTGACATCTGATGAAATGTAGTGGTGGGTGAGTTTTATGTGCCTCGTCTTCAGGCACATTCAGAGTTTCTGCCTCTCAGTGCATGACTAAGTACTGGCTCTCCAGTAGCATATCCAACTGCAACATCCTGTCTCAGAAAAGCAGGAACAAATGTTAGAAGCCCAGAACGAGCAGGAATAATGGAGGAAGGGCTGTTAGTCAAACATCCATTGTATAATGAAGTATTTATATGAAATACATAACATCTACCTGTTTTTAGGGATCCTTTTATTTGTTTGACAATCCAGGTTTGGGGTAACTTGTCATTAATGAAATTCTTGAAGGTGCAGAACTTTATTCCTGTGATGTTTAAATTTATGCAGCATTTTATGGGATACCTAGAAAGATTATAAATCATGAATCCAAATGCTGTAATAGTTGGGTTAGCCAATGGCTAATTGAAATGACTAGCATCTGGAGTTTACGTCTCTATCAGGAAAAATGTGTTCAGGACCAGTCCTGGAAGGCTTTCACACCAGTCAGTTAAATTGTCTTGATAGAATAAATGTTGCCTTCGTTCTGAGCAGTGTGCTCATAATACAGTAATAAGAGCTGGAAAACATTCTGCATCATGAAACCATGAGTGAAGACAAACCTAAGTAATCAATGTGAAATGTACTACATGCCTTAAAGTGACAGAGTGACCACACACAGTGCTCTTCCATTATGTGGAGGGCTGCCACCCACACAGGTTTGAGACAGACAGATGTGGTTCCTACAGAGTCAGCTACAATTCTGTGGTGGGTGGTATATTCTTGGAAATTTTCATCCTGTGCAGGTTTTCTCGGTCTCCTCCAGCTATCTGGATGAAATAGGCTACCATCTCTGAATTGCCCAAAGTGTGTAATTGCATATTTAGAGTGTGTGTGTGTGTATGTGTGTGTGTCCTAATATCCCCTGCCTCCTGTCGTGTGCTTCTTAGGATAGGCTCTAGGCGTATTGTTAACCTGCACTGAATAAGTGCCTAAGGAAGGTGAATGGATTCATATAGCCAAAGTTTCAGATGAATATTCAGTAATCAAATCAATTTAATAACAAATCGAATAATCCTTACGGATCTCGGATCTACTACAATCCCTTACCGGACTATTTTTTAAACAGCAGATGTTGGAAAAATGTCTGTAAAATAAAATGCTCTCCTCTATATCTGCTGGTATTAAATGGTAATGTAGCAATTAATTGTAAATTGCATTATTGATACAGCTCTAGTAATTTAGAGATGCCAAATACTCTAATATCATGGGTCAAGAAAAATGAAACATGCAAACTCCACAGATGTAGCTCAGGGGTGTGAGGTTGCAGTGTGACCCACCTTGTTAATCATATGACTTGTATTATATTTCATTGTTACTGTAGTGATAGAATGCTGTCTACGACATTTTCCCCCATGCTGTTTTCATGTGTCTGAAGCTGCATATGGGATACCTAGCTCAGCTGATTCATGTTTTTCTTCCTTGTATGGGAAATAAGGAAGGGAAAGGTGAAAGCAGGTAACATTGTAAATGTGATAAGAAGTGTTTGATGGATATAATCACTGCTTCACTATTATTATTGATTAAGATATTCACCTGATTTCATTTTGAAACAATTTTCTCCAAAAATGAAGCAGCAGCACTGTGTGGCAGCATAGGACGGAAATGGCAGCTGTAGGAGACACTTGGTCTTGTGAACACAATAACTCAAAGTATTTCACGTATCTTTTACAAACACACATCATATGAGTGAAGATCTGGACTTGACAGTGATAGCAAAAAAGCAAAGAAGGGGTAGTTTCAGACATTTGATCTTGCTAGCATGATTAAAAAAATTGAAAGATCTTTTTCAAACTTGTGTACGTGTACCTGATCAAATCTTCAGACAAAGTGCACCAAATTTAAAGCAGTTCTGCATAGCGATACAGAGAGAAGGGCAGCCTCAGACACTTGATTTTGTTGCTGCAATGACTCAAAAAGTATTTGACAGGTCAGTTGTTCACAAACTGTGAGGCATGAGATGATTTTCTGAATATTCTGGAAAAAAAAACTCAACTTCAAATTTTATCGATAGTAGTCATGGGGAAATTGTGAAATTTATCATGGGGGAATTTAATTAAAATGAGGCTTTTAAGAGTATGTAGAGTGAGGTATATTGGCATTTGGTTAAATTTATTGTGAGGGAATTTAATTGAACAGGCACAGATCTGGTGAACCTGATTACATTAAGGGTAGTCATACAAAAGTTGGATTTTGTGATGGCATGAAAAATTAGGTATCGGTCAGACAACCAACCAAGTGTCTTCTACAGCTGCTGTTTCCTTCCTATACTGCCACAGAGCACTGCTGCTTCATTTTTGGGGCAATTTCTCTGAAAATTAAATTTATTTTTATAGATCTTCATCCATATAATGTTTTTTCAAGCAGTGATAAGATCCATCAAATATAACTTATGACATTCACATGGTCAAATGTCAGTGACAGACTGCCCAGCTTGCAAAAAACAAAAAGTGCAAACTCCTCATACACTGCTGTGATTGGTGCAGTGTGCCAAGAAAAACAAGTGAGAAGCTGACTGAGAATGTTAACCTGGGGCAGTTTTGGGTGCTCTTGGGTTACCCTCCTTCTAAAAATGCACTTCTGTGTGTGAAGTACTGCTAAGAGCTCAGGCAAGTGGAAAAATGTCATATGGTCAGATGATTCACGCTGTTATAAAGCTGCAGGCGAGTGCATGGAGGCTTGGGCCAAAGGTACCGTGCAGGCTGGACTGCTCCTCTCCTATGGGGAAGGCTTCTGGCAGCTCTCGGTGCTTTGGGTGCATCTTCTGGCAAGGTTTACGTAGCACGTCTAAGTGAGTGCAGTGGATGGACATCACTGAATACAGAGTAATCCTGATTTAGCATGGTCAAGCGTTTTTCCCTTCACAGGGAAGGAGCCTTTCAGGATGACAATGCCTCCATCTACAGGGCATGAGTGGGGACATGAATGTTGATGAATGTAAAGATAGTCTAATTCTGGTCACTGGTTAATTCTGGTATTGGTGTCAGTGATATTAGACAAAAATACAGTATATCATTATCTGCAAAAATCTTCAACAACACAGCTTCTAGTGGTGCTTTTTGTTTCTTATCCATTGGGAGAATCTATGCTGTGAAACATTGAGGCTGTCATCCCTGTTAGTGGTGACTCAGTGATTTATGATGTCATGCTTTCATTTGGAAGTTATCTGCGGGTCATGAGGTGCAATGTCAGGGTTTCTTCTAAGAGTGTTCATATTCAACAGGCTTCAGTATTGTGTCATTTGTACTTTGTCTACTAGACAATGCTTACCTTGCTTAACAATTGCCACACCTGGCAGGGGCAGGTGAACAGCTGTTTTAATTACCAGTTGTTGACGCAGGAAGATCAGCTCTAAACTTCACTTTAATTTAGGATTTTTTTTATTTCTGCCAATAAAATGCTTTGAGAACGTGGAATTCATTATGGAGTGAACTGGCGTATCCAGTTCTTTGTGAATTTCACATTTCTGGGTGTGTGCCGATGCTGAATGAGCCTTACAGAATGCTGCTCCAGTCTGTGAGCAGTAAATTGTCCATGGTGATGGGCATGAATCTAGAGGACATGCTTGAGTACACGGGGGAGTGGAATGACCATTCATAGAAGTTTACTCGGACTCCCTTTACAAATAATTAAATTAATGTGATTCTGCAGAATTAGAATCAAATTACACCCCACCCACCTTCATGTGTGTACTCCATCATATTTGATTTACATGTGAATGGGAGGTGACAGGTTATTGTGCTGGTTTT